TTTGGTAAACCAGAAAAACTTCGGCTTAATGCAATTTCGGCTTAGCGTGGCTTCGTCTTAACGAGTTTGCCTTGTATGCTTCCACGCCTTGCTAAGGTAAATTGAGCTTGGTTTCTTCCTCTTATTAACTGTTTATATTTTTTAAAGAATCTTAAGTCAAAGTATGTAATTCTGCAAAACAACATTACTATCACAATGGAAAACATCTATCCTTAAAGTTTAACGTTGGTATTAATGAATTATAAATTGGGATAGATATCACAGTGATAATTTAATAAAGATGTGATAAAAATAATTTAAAATGTCATTTACTCACGTTGTATAAATGTTGTATTAAACTTTGTATGAATTCTCTCGCTTCGCTTGCCCATACAATGTAAAACATGTTGTTTGATACGTTGTTACACATAATCCTCCCAAGCACTAATAACTAAGATCAAGTAATAATGAGTATAACTCATTATTTTTTTAATTTTATTATTTATAAAAATAAAATTCTAATATTTTTTCTTTAATATTAATTAAAATAAATTATATTTCATAATATCCAGTAGTTTTAAAGTTTCAATAAAACTTTTCCATAAATTATTTTTCTTTTCTTTTGGCCAAATAAATTCAAATAAATATTTTTTAATTGTATTTTTATTATAATTTCTTGGCTGAATTTGTAATTTTTGATATTCCTAACTGAAATATCAAACCAGACTTTTTGTCAGATTCAAGTCTGGTAAATTCTGAAATATAATGAAAGTCATGATATTTATTATTAATAATCTTATTCTAAAATATTAAAAAAACATATTTTATCAAATAAAAAATTTAGAATTAACTGGTACTTAATGTATTTGATAAATCAAAAACATATATTATCTGAGTTACAACTTAAAGAATTACAGATTTATTTTTAATAATTATTTTTTTTTTGATTTCTTAATTTAATTAATAATCTTATATATCTTTTGATACACTCATTTAAAATGTAATTAATATTTAAACCAATAGATTTGTCAAATTATTAACAGATTATTTATTTTTATAATTATATCTATTTAAATTATATTCATGATATCATTATACAATCCAAGCTATCTATAATTTTGAAAGTACAAATGATTATATAACCGAAACTTATAAGACTCTTAATACAAGAATTCTTATATAATGTGATGTAATCAACCAGATGTTGAATATAGTATATTTTTTTTAATATTTTTGATTATAATATCTAGAGATATTTAACTTACAGAATTTTCTATAATAATTTTCTTTAATTTATTTGTTTTCATTTTTCTCTTTATATTAAACTTTTCCCATTCATTATTACTACTATTATTCATATTAATTTAATTTAAATATCTATAATGAATTATCTCTTTCCTCCTCTTTCTCTTTCTCTTTCTCCTTCCTTTTTCTGTATTATAAATAACAATCCACGCAAGAAATTATTCTACTAATTCAATCCAATTGAATTAGTCAGCATCCGCAATATCATCATCATCATCATCATCATTGATCAAGGTCTTTTCAGTTTTCGAAAGTCGCTTTTTATTAATTGTAGTAGTTGTGGTTCTTTTAGTAGTAATCTTTTTATTGACGCCTTTTCCAACATTGTTCTTCTCTATCAACGTCGAGGTGGTAGTGGTTGTTATTTTTGCAACGTTTGCAAGCATAGGAGATTTCAACAATACGCTACTGTCACTGTTGTTGCCGATAAGACCCTTACGACTCTTAACATACTCGAGATACTCGTCATAAGTAATTTGATATTTTGCACTTTGATATCGTCTGAGTATTATCCGTTGACGAACACGATCCGTGATTCGTCCGGTGAATCCGCCTTTACGAAGAAGTGAATCTATGGCCTCGACTTTGCTCCAGCCTTTTAACGTAATATATGTAGGTATTTTTAGTAACTCGTGTTCATATCTGGTTCTTGCGAAAGCAAAAATGGATATCCGTTGAGTTTTCCTTTCATTCCTTCCCTGTTTTCTTTTTTTTTTTACCTTGCTCTTCAGCAATTTCAGGTAGATAAGTAGCAGTTTTACGTCGATTATGGTCATCGGTGAACTCGATCCAAATTCCATGTACCCCAATCTAAAAAAATAAATGCGCGCCAATTAAATTTTTCATCCATCGTATGTTTTATCAGAATGCGAATGTTTACCTCCCAATCAAGATAATCTTCGGCATCTTCGAAATCGGTTAGAAGAGAAACGCTAAAGATTGTTAAAGATTGTTATTTACAAAGGTAAAATGATCGTATTAGTATTATATATTCAAAGATAGTAATCGAAGCAAATGTAAATATGTAATCAACTAACGCGCATTCAAGATGAGCTAATTCGCGGATCGTAATTGGTGAAAATCTTCTATCATGGAATGCACTAATAAAAAGCAGAAGTCAAATATTTTCATTGTGCAAGAAAAAAATTGTTAAGGGATTATGAAAAAATAATATACCTGTTGATCGCGTACTCCTTCAATCCAGTATGAAGTGGTAAAGCATCAAAGTTTCCGATGCAACCACGAAGGCGCGAATGACCGTGATTAATGATATTCCAAGTGACAAATAATGGACTATTTTTATTTTCGAATAGAAATTAAAAATGACATTTAATATCTTTTCATATCCTCGGAAGAATCACACATACAAAGCCATATCCTCAAATTCGGGCTCTAAATGTTTTCTCCCCTCAAATTCAGAAACCAAGACATCAAAGCAGTAAATACAATGCTCGATTCCTGCAACCATACTGTCCCGTTTTCTGTTATTTTTATAAAGGATAAAGGGAATAACGTAAGATTTGGAGAGGTAGAGAAGAAAATAAAGTGGCGAATGCTGTAATAAAGGAGTAAGTTATAGTGAATTTACAAAAATAACTTTAAGTGATATCAGAATTATGAATATTGTTATCTTTATTAGTATTACTATTATTAAGAAAATGTAGGAGGCGTCGAAAAAAAGGAAAAGGCAAAGGTGTTTTGTAACTCCGAGTCTTACTTTTGACCTTAGCCTTAACCTTTTTTTATATTTTAAGAACGGGAACACAGTTCGCTGTCAGGATATAATCGTTAGTTTTACCTCAACGATCGATAATGAATCGGGATAAATGCATTAACCTGTATGCATCTGATCTGTGCGTATTACGATATTTAGCATTTTGTGATAGATAATTTTTACAAATTTTCATTGCATTACAAAAATCTAAAAGTTATTCTTTAGTTCTCTCAGCTTTGAAATAGTCTCCACCGGATCTTCCTCCTGAACGGCCTTTTTTATCGCATCACTATCAACACGCATAAATGGATTAAAATCCTTTTCACCCCCAATAGTGCTAGGCACCGTAACAACCGGTCTATCCTTAATACTACCAAAGCCACCACTTTCCACCCAAGAGATTTTATTTTTTAACGCTTGATTATTGGGATCCACAGAAAGGGCAAATTGTAGATTGGATTCCGTGTATTCGTGCCCACAGTATACTTTTGTTTCAGGTGGTAGAGAGCCCAGAATTTGGTTGAGTGAGGTGTGCATATCTTGTCCTGTTCCTTCAAAGAACCTTCCGCAGCCTCCGATGAAAAGGGTGTCACCTGGATTTTTGTAAATTATAGTATTATTAATGATCGAACTAACTACAATTCGGAGAAAAGTACAGATTACCGGTGAAAACAGCTTTTTGATTATCATCGCTAATATCCGTCAAGTAATAACTAATACTTCCAGTAGTGTGACATGGAGTATGCAACGTTCTGACGTTTATATTATTTCCAATCTTGAATTCTTGTTCGTGTGTTAGTTTTTCGGTAATTTCAGGGATTCGATCATCACCTCCATAAACTTTTATGCCTGGCTTTTGCTTTACAAATTCTGTATTGCCTCCTGAATGATCCTAAATTCAACTTAATCATTTAGTAATATTATTATATGGATGAATCTGGTTACGATAATAGTTTTTACCGGATGGTGATGCGTGGTAAGCAAGTGTTTAATGGTCACACCTTCCGCGTTTGATATCTCAAGTACTTTGGTTGGTTCTACCGGATCAACGACAGCAGCTAATTAATTAATTAAACATATTAATAATATTATTTAATCGTTGTTTCGATGTAAAAAAAATTTAGATATTATACCTTCTTTTGTTGCGTCGTCCACAACCAAATACGAATAATTATCTTCGAGAACTTTTCGCATGTGTAATAAATTAATTAATATCAATTCAATTTTGAGAACGCTTGCAACTGCCCTTTGGAACCATGCAGTTATTTTCAAGTTATAAATTAAAAGAGTACCTGCAATTGGAATTATTTTCATGTCGAAATTCGCTAGAGACTAATAATAAAGTAATTTCCAAAGTCAGCAATTAAAAAAAGCGTGACTGAGAAATTGCTTATTTTGACCTGATGCAATTTCCTTTTAAGGGATATATTTTTACCACGCGCAACTGAACGTGTTAACGACAAATACTTGAACATCAGTATGATGCGATGGACTCTTTATTATCTATCACTATCGCTATGAAAGAGCTAATTCTAAATGATATCAAATATTCCTATTCTCGCCGCGTTAATTAAATTGATTAAGACGCTTAATTCACTGAGGTTCCCACACCTCAAAATCAAAAAAATGACACAATTGTCGTCATCGGACAAGTAAAATTTCCGAATATATATAAAATCATAAGTTACTGTTACACGATTTGAAAAAAGATAAATTATTATGAAGTAATATTTATAACTTTACATCAAAAGTTTAGGATAAAACAGGATAATTAAATCCTGTTAAACATGTTTTACATACAATGCTGAAATAAATATTAATAAAGTTTGAATATTAAAATATTGAATGTCAGGATTTTGACTTGATAAAAACATGATTTCTAATTTCTGAAATCAATTATTCTTTATTTTTATTTCTAACAAAATGAATAATTACTTTAATCAAGATTGTGTGGTTGAAAAATTAAACATTATAATATTTGATAGATTCTTATTTAAAATCATCAAATTATTAATAAAAAAAAGAGAAAAAATAATAATTTTTAATATTAGATATGATCTAATACAAAAAGATTTATATCTCAAATAAATATATCTTTTATAAAAAAAATTTACTAATAATAAACTTTTTTGAATTATTATTTCTTAAATTTTACTATATAAAATTTGATTAAAATTAATATAAAA